AGGTTAGAGTCATTTAGATGTAGGTCCCGATTCTACGTTATGTTTACAAACGCTACAGCAAATGGTTAAATACGTTAGGAGCAAAGTGAACAATTCGCCGGGTCTGCTAAACTCTCGTTTTCCAGCAGACACCTGGACGGTGTTCCAGCAGACACCTGGACGGTGTTCCAGCAGACACCTGGACGGTGTTCCAGCAGACACCTGGACGGTGTTCCAGCAGACACCTGGACGGTGTTCCGGCAGACACCTGGATGAAGTTAGTAAAGCACGTACACAATAGTAACCTGCGTTTGCTTCCTGTAAATTCAACAATACAAGAATCAACTTTCTGGTGGTCCATCACTACATACTGGTACCTTCAACTAAATAATTACTTTAAGTACTTTAATTTTAGAACGATCGACAAGATAAAAAAAACAAGAGGCTGCAATGAACGAAAAGAAGCAAGAGGAGGCTACGATAACTGAAAGGAGCAAAGGCAGCTTACAGAGAATGACAGGAAGCAAAGAGCCAAGGAAAGCCTGCATTAAAAAAAAACGTGAAGAAAAAGTGAGCTTACAAGGAATGGCTTGAAGCAAAAGGAGCCAAGGAAAGCCTACAGTGGGCAACAGGAAGCAGGGAAAGCATGCAATAAAGGAAGTTTTTCGCTGCTCAAACTATCATAACTGCGCTATCATAACTCAAACTATTTTCGAAAATAAACACATTAATATCGTAACCGTCTCTTCCGTAAGAAGCTATATATAAATGGAGGTGACGAAGCCTTTAATTTACAGTGTTGCGAGAGTGGACAATTAAACGATTAATCAATGAACCGTTGACCGCTCAAGGAGGACTTCCTTCTTGTGGTAATCACCAGACCACCGCAATCACTGTCACCAGTGAAATCTAGTATATATGCTGAAAGCCTAAAAGAAGCGGCTGTGGAGTGAAGGCAGGCAGGTAGGTAGGTAGGTAGGTAGGTAGGTAGGTGTGTGTGTGTGTGTGTGTGTGTGTGTGTGTGTGTGTGTGTGTGTGTCTGTCTGTGTCTGTCTGTGTCTGTCTGTGTCTGTCTGTGTCTGTCTCTGTCTGTCTCTGTCTGTCTCTGTCTGTTGTTACGTACCCTTATAAGATACGTAAGTGAATATATTAATATGTACATTTATAATTGTATGTAAATTACAAGCATGTATATTGTTATACTTATATGTTCTATGCAAATGCACATTCATGTTACAGTGTTGGCGTTAGGCCCAGCGTATCGTGGGAATGATTGTTTATTTCTTTGTGTGATCAGTTTTCCCACGGGAACTAATGATTTATATGTGATCATAAGTGGGTAACAGAGTGAAATAATAATTGAGTGAACTGTATCTGGCAAATTGTCGTGGGATCGTCCGTTGCTGGGGTGTGCATGCCATTATTTCCTTCTGTATGCATATTTTAATTACTATGTAAAGAAACAATTGCTTTGTTTGTCTATATCAATATGTACTAATTATTCATTAAGTTAGTTTAAGATTACTCTTGTCACAATGTAGTGCTCCATTGTTGAAATAATAAATATTGTAACTTTGGCAATTTATTCGCGGGGCAAGGCAATGTGTTTTTTGACTCGCATATTGTAGTTCAGTAGCTGAGCAGAAACCAGGGAGATATCATCTTGGAGTTAAGTCATTCTTTTGTTCTAGCCATATAATTATTCTTAGTATTGATTTAATGTCTGGAAGTTACAGTGATATTTTTAATGTGATATATTGTGACCATATAATCATCTGTTTGCCTTTGAGATTTATTTAATATAAATTATATACATATGCTTAGTCTTTATTCTTCAGTCCTATGAAGATTCTATTGTTGTGCTCATTACCTAGTAAGGGGTTATACTGGTGATTCGCTATTGAGAACAGCAGTTGTGTCGTATCCCTAGACTTATTAAAGTTTGGCTGCTGTAGGATCACGAGCCGTAACGTACGATAGGTAACATCTGTCTCTGTCTGTCTCTGTCTGTCTCTGTCTGTCTCTGTCTGTCTGTCTGTCTGTCTCTCTCTCTCTCTCTCTCTCTCTCTCTCTCTCTCTCTCTCTCTCTCTCTCTCTCTCTCTCTCTCTCTCTCTCTCTCTCTCTCTCTCTCTCTCTCTCTCTCTCTCTCCTTCCTGAGAAAGAGGAGATATGCAAACGGAGAGATAACGAGTGGAGTACCACAGGTGTTAAGGCCCGTCCCGTTTCTAGCATATGTCAACGACCTGACAGGAAATTATTTCCTTATGTCGTAGCTGTGACGCAGGAGCCTCCTGTAGCAGTGATCAAACCTCTGTAACAGTGACAATGCTGCTGTCACTGATGTGAGGCATTTATTATAGCAGCACAATTTTTAATCAGTTTTTTTTCCATTACATTTCAAGAGGTCGCAAAAAATCGAGCTATTTACCGTATACGTGGCACTATTGACAGTGTTAGTGGCGCTATTCGCGGCGAAAGTGGCACTATTCAGGTTTGAGGCTATTCAGACCTGGCTTTTAAGTGTTGTATTCCGAGAAGCAGTTGACGCCTAATTCACATCCACACAACGTAGTCGGCCGCTTCACACATCAATTGCAACAACCTCTCCTAGTTTCACCAGTGCATTTTGATATCAACACTTGAGTAAATTCAATTGAATGTTTATGCTGTTTGTACGAAATATATAAATATGGAAACTTGCAAAAACACTGTTCCCGGAGGTTATGAAACCGTATTCGATTCAGTTTCTGAATGAAGACAATATCCATGTCTAAGGTAATGGGTTTAGCAGCCTAGACCGCCTCGCCCCCGTATATAGGAAGCTGCCGAGAATGATATGGAAACATGGCTTACGTGATGCCGCAAACGTCTCCATTTTGTGTCTTAATTTGTCTTTCTTTATTTTGTTAATTAATTTTTAAGTTTGGTTAAGTTTCCTTTTTGTTTTTATTTTATTTCATATTAAGTTTTGAAGCCGTATAGAGCCGGGATCAGCAACATTGACAACACAAGATGAACAAATCCACAAGGGCCGTGACGAAGATTCGAACCTGCGTCCGGGAGCATCCCAGACACTGCCTTAATCACAACACCACTTCTTATATGCGTATACGAGGCGTAGACACGAAATTGAACTTTATAAAGAGATTGGGAGAGAGCGAGCGAGTGAGAGTGAAGGAGAACAACCGGAGGCAGAAAGAAAGAGTAAGACCCGGATAGACATATCAGTGAAAAAAAATCGCTAAGCGTCAAAGCAAATAAATCTAGCGTTAGAAACAAAAAGCACAACATAGAAGCAGGAAAGAATGTGGCCGTTCTGGTTTCTTCACACGTCATTATGTATAATGTTCAGCTTTATCTCCAGCGACGCGTAGCATAGTCATGCCCCCCCTACCAACATCCCCCAACACACACACGTCCCATACTTTTTCCTCCATTCCCATCTACTCCTTTTTCTTAACTTCCTGGTAATGATCCTCTTCGTCATCTTACTGCTCCTTCGCCGCCTCCACCACCACCACTTTTTCTTTTGGGGGAGTAAAGAGGAAGGAGAGGCATAGGTGAAGGGAAGTATAGAAGTGAGAAATACAGTGAGAGGTATGAAAGCAGGCGGGCTGTCCGCCTTGCTGACACGATGTGTGGGGCTACTACTACTACCTTCGCTATCTACTAGTAGGCTGCTCTACTCAACCAAGATATCCAATCCTTTATGGCCGTGAGAGAGAGAGGGAGTAGAGGAGAGTGGGGACTCTATAGTCACTTGAGGGGAGTCAGGACCAGAACCAAGGGGAAGCGTGGTGATACTAGAGGGAGTTTGTGCAAAAGGGGAGCGATATAGCACAATGGAAAGTTTGTGTCAAGGGAGAGGTGGGTTCCACTAATGGGATCCATTGTCAAGGAGGGAGGCCGACTAAATAGTTATCTTGAGCTATGTTGCACTTATATGCCTTGGTACTTTAGCGTAATCACCGGCGGACAGCGCGAGCGTGGCGGTGAGTCTTTTTTTTCTATATAATTTACCTTTAATGACATATATCAGGCAATAGATGATAGGCGGGAGCTAACCGCAGTGACACGTGCACATGATCACCGACAAGCACCCTCACACTCATACACACACACTGGTGTACACTAACTTGCAAATAAAACAAACACACACACACACACACACACAACCGACGGTTATAAAAGCCAAGACGACAAAAGTAATAATGATAATGCCAGTGAACTGAAGGTTAAAAGACGTGCCTAGGAGCTGTAGCTCAACGCTCAAACACATTACACACACATGGCATGTGTGTAATGCCATGGTATGAGGCGGTATGAGGCGAGGCTTCGAAAAAAATGTGACTTATTGTGGAGTCATGCGGTGTGACGAGACGTCATGTGATATATTTCTGATGTTAGCGACAGACGGTGGCTGACAGACTCGCACTCCCGCTTGTCGTTAGCGGTAGTCAGTATTCAACTGGTATACCCACCTCTTGCTAGCAATAGTCGGTGTTCAACTCTCACACGCCACCTTGTCAACGACCCCTGTGACGCGGCGGTAACCACCAATAGAGGAAAATGAGGAAGTAAAAAAGAGGAAATTAGTGTTCTTGAATACAATCATTGGTCTTGCTGGTCGGCGTTCTTCGTGTAATTACAGTACCTCTCTCTCCGTCTCCCCCCTACTGTGAACCCTCCCTCCCTCATGATCCACGCCGCCTCACAACTGTAGACCTCACTGGTCCTCCTGCAGCCAATGCGTCGTGTTTCACCCCCATGATTTCACTGTCACGGCAGCCTCTTACCTGTAAGGCCTTGTTCTTCCTTGTCAAGTCACAATTTACCAGCACACACACACTGGTTTAGAACGAAGACACGGAAGGTGGTCGAGTGGCTGTGGCAACACTTACACTGGAGATGGAACTGAATGTTCATGTTGAAACTGAATGCTCCTGCGTAGCTTAATGCGCCCGTAAAACTGAAGTCATGCGTAGCTTAATGCTCCTATGGAACTCTAAAGGCTTCTTACCATCTTAGAACTGGATTCCCTTGTAGGGTCTTAAGAGTTGGAAATTCATGTGACTCGTACATTACTTTTTCTCATTTTAAATGTCTCTCTGTCTCTACACAACTACTTATCTCTCCTCACTGTTCATTGTTTTATAGTCACTGTGTAAGTGTACTAGGGTGAGATATTTAGCGAGTGAAGGGTTGAACGAGTGAGAAAATTATCGAATGTTGAACGACTGGACGAGAAAGCGAATGAGGACGGGCCCTTGGCGTCCGTCTTGTAGGAGTGGTTGTGAGTCAATACAGCGTTGCTTCCGGTGTGGGCCAGCAGGTGTGTTTCAGGAAATGGTCAAATGATATGTTCTCGTTCTCTCGTTCTCTCGTTCTCTCGTTCTCTCTCTCTCTCTCTCTCTCTCTCTCTCTCTCTCTCTCTCTCTCTCTCTCTCTCTCTCTCTCTCTCTCTCTCGCCTGCCTGGATCTGACACCCCTCTGTGTATCCGTCTCACACCTGCCCTACACCCCACCCATCCACCATTCAACATTACAAACATTTCTTCTCAACATTTTTATCTGTAATCATTGATACCAATATCAGAAAACGGCTATTATACCCGTGCTGCTGACTAAAAGATGTGCGTGTGTACACAATTATTAGCTTGAGTGGCGTATGGCCGGGGATAACGAGGCTCGGGGAGGCAGGTGGTGCACTCAGCCAACACCTGGGCGACCTACACAGCTGGTCGACGCTCACCGGAAACCTTTATCATCACCGTCACCGTCTCCTCCTCCTCCTACTCTTCCTCCTCCTCCTCCCCAGGACACACCACGCTGGAGGGGAAAATTATGACCTTCCAACAATCGCTGGCTAAGTCACCAGGACAATGACACGAAAATGCTCCTAATGGCCGTCCTGAACAAAGCGTGACTCGAATGGAACATTAACAAGACGTTTTAACTTGCTTCTCTGACCTTCACCTTGACGTCCAGTTGTGTGCTGGGGTCTTGTGGCTCCTGCGTCACTTTAGGCTGCCCTTCCTACAAGTGTCCCGCAGCTGGGGCCAGATTCACGAAGCAGTTACGCAAGCACTTGCGAACGTGTACATCTTTCCTTAATCTTTGTCGGCTTTGGTTACATTTATTAAACAGTTTACAAGCATGAAAACTTGCCAGTCAACTGTTGTTATTGTTATAAACAGCCTCCTGGTGCTTCGGAGCTCATTAACTGTTTAATAATTGTAAACAAAGCCGCCAAAGATTGAGAAAAGATGTACAGGTTCGTAAGTGCTTGCGTAAATGCTTTCGTGAATCTGGCCTCTGGTCTGTACGGGCTCACCATAGCCCGTGCTACTAGGAACTTTTTGTTCCAGGAAGCGAATCTTTAACAACAACAACAACAACAGCTGGTCTGTCCAGAGCGGGGACACTGCTCAATTACACATCTTCCCACACGATTTGTTTCTTCAGACTGTTACAAGACTAATAGCCCATTCAAGGAACATGACCTTGGAAGAATTAAATACCTCTACCAGAGGCCAGGATAAAACTCCACAATACGGCTCTTGAAAGACTAAAGATTAATTGTGTTGAAGAAATGGAGCAATGGTGAGTTCCACCTGGGAAGAGGGAGAAAAGAAAGGAAAAGGGAGAGGCAGAGAACTGGTGAGAGGGGGGAGAGTGGGGAGAGGAGGGAGAGGAGGGGGAGAGGGGGGGAGGGGGGAGGGGGGAGGGAAGGAACACCTACGCAGAGGGTACGCCATGAATCAGCAAGTGGCGGGCGTAGAGTCCTGGCGCCACACTTACCCTGGGGGCCCAGATTCACGAAGCAGTTACGCAAGCACTTACGAACGTGTACATCTTTCCTCAATCTTTGACGGCTTTGGTTACATTTATTAAACAGTTTACAAGCATGAAAACTTCCCAATCAACTGTTGTTGTTGTTATTGTTATAAACAGCCTCCTGGTGCTTCGGAGCTCTATTTAATAATTGTAAACAAAGCCGTCAAAGATTTAAAAAAAAAAAAGATGTACAGGTTCGTAAGTGCTCGTGTAACTGCTTCATGAATCTGGCGTCTGGGCGCCAATCTTTCCTGGCACACGTGGACGCTACTTTCACTTTATCTCAAATTCACAATCCCACCTAAGATTTCCGGCTCCGTACGTAGTTTGGGGGTTGACCCCTTCTTCAGTGCTTTCATCTATTGCAGGTGAGAAAGTACGATACTTTTGGGTCAATTACATCTCCCTGTCCCCCTCCCCCCCCCCCCAGCCCTCCCTCCTCCCCATTATGTGTCTGATCACACCTAGAGGTACTTGCAGGGTCGTGATTCAATTCCCAAATTCCAATTTTTAAGCTATTGTATTGTATTTAAGCCAATTTATAGCTATTTATTGCTATTGTATTGTATTTAAGCTATTGCTATTTAAGCTAGCAATTTTATTGCTAGTGTGTGTATGCGTGTGTGTGTGTGTGTGTGTGTGTGTGTGTGTGTGTGTGTGTGTGTGTGTGTGTGTGTGTGTGTGTGTGTGTGTGTGTTTATGAGCGTACATGCGTGCGCATAAATTTAAGACTAATCGAGAAGCTGTGTACGAACACGGATATATGAGTCAGTCTACACACACATAAATCACAATAGCGTGATATATCAACATCCCGTGCTTAGGTTCGAACCCTCATCACGGGCCATTGTGGATTTGTTCATTTAGTCTGTCAACATTTAAAACTCTTAAAAATCTCTTGGTTGTCTAACCATCTTAACAATCCCTGTCAGGAGGCAAGTACAAACGTAGGCAGGAGATGAGGGGGGAGGGTAGAGAAACCTTGACACCACTCACCCTAGAATAACCAGTTTCACTCATCTGCAATAGACCATGCACTATTGCCAATATGATACACGCGTCCTACCAAACATAACATACTAATAGTCACAAACTATGTCGGGAAAGGCTGCCAAGGTCCACAGGCAAGGCTATGTAGCCTAGTGGCAGGGGAAGGGAGGGTAGTCTGGGCCCCCCCTAGTGGCTGGGGAGGATAGTCTGGGCCCCCTAGTGGCAGGGGAGGAGAGGGTAGTCAGGGGTCAGAGGGAACTTGTGGTTTTTACTCTGCCGTTGACCTTAATCGTGTGTACAGAAGAGGGTGGTGGTGGTGTGTACTCACGCAGCTTGACGCACCCTACTGCCCTAAACTCAAACAAAAGTTATTAGCCTAACTATACGTTAGTATTTCAGCAACAACATATTCATGTTGACAGCTGTACTGTGATTGTCACTTTGAAAACCTAGAACCAAGATAGTATTATATTTCTATATTTTCCCCAGTAATATATATATCGCATTATATGACTAAACTTAGACTCTTAAGTTCATTTTTATGCTTAAAGAGAATTAATCTACCGTTGCAGAAACCAATTTTAAATTAATCAGATTATGCTATACGATGCATTTACAATTTGGCACCGGCAGAATATTAATCAATACAGTTCATATCTGTGTTCGAAATGTCATAAATGATAATAATTTATTATGATGATGATGCTGTTTTAGATTCAGCTACTTAGAACAAAATTCCAAAGTAGCACGGGCTATGGTGAGCCCGTAGTGAACTTACCTAGCACAGGAGCGGGGCTGTAACTGTAACACTTATGACACTAACTTATATGTAACTTATAACATTAACTGTAGGTGAGCTTGGCTGCCAAGCTTGGCTGCCAAGAGTCTAAGAGTCTACGTAAGAGTCTACAACAGGTGACAACGATGTGGTGAGACCAGGGGCCCCTACCATCGTGAACAAACCCACAAGGGCCGTGACGAGGGTTCGAACCTACGTCCGAGAAGATCCCAAACGCTGCCTTAATCGACTGAGCTACGACATGGTCAAAAGAATTGCAACCAGAAGTTCTACTGAACTAACTTGGATCCTAACATCATACCTCACACTCGCCATCATGTCACTCCCCGGGAGGATAATGCTGTCATCATTATTGCTTATGACAATATAATTCAGCCCGAGACCAATTGAAATAACCAACACCGTCAAATCTTTTACTTGAACAAATCCACAAGGGCCGTGATGAGGATTCGAACCTGCGTCCGGGAGCATCCCAGACAATGCCTTAATCGACTGAGCTATCAGCGACTGTCGATTCGAATCGACTGTCTTTTTAGTCTGTGGTCTTCCAAGACCAGCCACACAGTAGGCTGCGTAAAAACGTGTACTGTATAGTGTCAGAGTCGCCTTGGACTGGTCGACACCGTATTGCCAGCTAACTGGACTTCTCATTTAGAAGGTGACTGTCATTCGTGGCGAAGGTGAGTGTCGTTAGTTACTCAATAACAGGTTATTACCCAGAATGACATGTCCCCCCCCCCCCTCCCCATAACATCCTCGGCGCCTTTGGCTCCAGATACATCAACCATCTTGTCTTGCTAATATCGTATTGTTATCCTGAAAGATAACAAAGAAGTTACATGTTCGGTATCGATATACAGTAATATATATACATATATATATATATATCATCCACACCCACAAAACGAGGCATAACTCACCCACAAATCACCAGCAAAATGAGATGATTCGATAAAATAACTATGCCCGAGATTTCCATCAAAGTGCCGTCAGGATGATGGGCAAATAGCCTCGGCTACCATCATCTTTTGTACGGTCGCTGATGGTCAAGTGGTTAAGATCTCCTGTACACCATTTGCATAGTGCTCCTGGCAGTCTGGGTTCGAGTCACTTCTGGGGTGTGGAGTTTTTCAGTTCTATATAATAAATATTATATATATATATATATATATATATATATTATATATATATATATATATATATATATATATATATATATATATATATATATATATATATTGGTTGCAGTCTTTTAAACATTTCGTTGAAAATGACGTTTTAGATTTATGATTCTGGCACGAATCTTCGATATTTCTTATGTTTTTCTTCACTGAAGCAGGAAGTTGAAAAATTAACTCTCCAAAGCTCATTTTTACTTTTTATTGGGTCTAAACGTTGGGTAATAAAAAGTAAAAATGAACTTTTAAGAGTTAATTTTTCAACTTCCTGCTTCATTGAATAGCAAAAATAGGGAATAGTACTTATTATTGTAATAAACGCACGAACCCAAGCCACCTTCCTAACCTAACCAACCTACACATTAAAATAAAGATGGGTATTTGTGAGCCGCTACTTTTCATATTTTTTCATTTTCAGTACCAGTTATTTTGTACGTCTGGGACCATAGGGTACAAAATGAGGCCTATTAGTTACGAGAGGACGGGTTGAAA